CGCGCAGCAATATTCCAGCTGCATGGTGGAGGTCTATAAATAATCGAGTCTGGAGGTCTATAAATAATCAGACGATCCAGTGATCAACAGTATGAGCATCGATCTGCAATTGGGATCCGATGACCGATGGTCAACCAAGTCAGCGAGCCTGACCGCCCGATACTGTCTCTTAGTCTCCTCTAACGACAAGCATGGATTGCTGAAGACCAATTTCTAACCCCCGATCTTCTGGGATGCTTATGGAGATAGTATGATATGTGTCGTTGGTATAAGTATCTCAGTTTGCTAGCATTATAAAACCAGCATCGATTAGAATAGGAAACTGCAGCTACACACAAAACATATTTTTATATACAACATGCGCTTTACCATCATCATATTCCTGGTCCAGCCACCGCCTCATCGGTGTGAGCGTCATCCCCACGTAGGGATGCCAAAGGTTGTTACAGCTGCCGTCAGGTGTCCGGAACTCGTAGGAACTGTTACAAGCAAGATTACTTGTGCATGTAATCTCTGGGCCCAAACCTCTTTGCAAAAGCAGCTCCGGTATGTCCGCCTTTTGTACTTTTCCCCTGACAGATACCAATAATTGTGAGTTAGTGAGCATGGTTTTAGCATGTTCTAGTAAGTTCACGACAGGGGACATCAGATATGGGCTTAACACACAATGCCCAAGTGGAGAATTGAACTGGGTCTTCGGCGTGACAAGCGAATGCCTTAACCACTAGGCTACCCTACCGCGCACCAACACTTGTCTCATCAAGCAAGTTAAACGCCAGTTAAACGTTGTTATGCAATGAAATGTTCTTAAATTATTGAATCTGTATATTCTGTCCTTTAGTACACATTTCAAATGTGTAAAGACTTCACCATATTCACGGTTTTCGGGAGAGGACTACCTATGTAGTGAAAACTTGTGCTCCAGTCCCTTTCTTTGTGATCAAAATATATGTAAATCGAAAAAAGAAAATCAACATTGTATTCCTGGATACATAATTCTCTTTTCCATGCACAAAGCAGACAATCGTGTCAGTTTGCTTTCCTCGGCCAACTGTTAATCAGGAAAGATGCTTGTATTAGAATTGTTTGTTTATTAGAACTGTTTGAAAAGGTTGCAATAATTTCGACATTGTTTCAACCGGAATTTATTCTGCTTGGAAAAAGGATCACACGGGACTTTGTCACATATAAACTGAGTTGCCAACTGCAACTTACTCCTCTCTCCACATTTTCAACTTCTACAATGCCACTCATTGGCACTCAAAGAAGTTAACTTACCCTCCACCAACTCTTGAACCTGCAGCAGGTGAAGACGATGCTGCCTTCCTCGCTTAACGCTCTCTCTGATGCAGTAAACGTGAACTTGTTATGTTGGTCAGCAGTTGAACTCTGGCTTCGAGAATTTCAAATCTGAAATAGACATGAACGTGTTTGTGAATGAGCTTGATTTGGCGTCTCAGCATGATGTGAGAGGAAAGTCACAAGCCATGCAGGTATGACACTGCATTCTCTTTCATGATATGAAAAGATCAGCATGAAATTTCGCCTTTTTTTGAGTGAGTAAGGATTTACGCAAAATAACTAGCAACGTCAGGGCGGTACACCGGAAATGGTATGTTGGAACCAGAATCCCTAGACACACTTAGTCACACTAACCAATTGTCATATTTCTTCCGATGTTGGTACGAACTGCGAACAAAACCTAACATAGTACCAAATATAATAATTCTTTCTATGTTGGCACCATTTTCCCACGATACACTTAGTCACACTAACCGAATCTAATATTTCTGTCTGTGTTGGAACCAGAATCCCCAGACACACTTAGTCACACCAACCAAATGTAATTTTTCTTCCTATGTTGGAACAAACTGCAAACAAAACCTAACATAGTACCAAATATAATTGTAGTGGTTAGAGCGTCCGCTCGGAGAGCGGAAGGTCGCGGGTTCGATCCCCGACCGCGTCATACCAAAAGACGTTAAAATATGGTACTTGTTGGTCCCTGCCTGGCGCTCGGCATTAATGGGTACAACAAGGACTGGTCGGCTCGGAGTCAGTATTATGTGTTTGAGTGGGGTATTCATGCTTCACTGCGGCATGGTATCTCAGTGGGCTAGCACTATAAAACCAGCTTCAGTCTGGGCTAGTACAACCAGCCGCACATACACATACACACGCATGCACGTCGTCATATGAGCGAAATATTCTCAAGCACGACGTTAAACCCAATTTCACCTCACCTCACCAAATATAATATTTCTTCCTATGTTTTGACCAGAATCCCCAGACACACTTAGTCACACTAACCAAATGTCATATTTCTTCCTATGTTGGGACCAGAATCCCTAGACACACGTGTGATTAAACTGTAACTGTTTACCTGATGATCTGAAGTTGCCCTCCTCCCTCAGCTCCTCCTGGAGACGCATCTCGGCCCGGGAATATATCATCATCTTCTGTGACGCAGTGAAAGTGGGGACTACATCTGATCTGTTCCGGTCAGTATTGGACGCCGCCGGTAAAATATGGCAAGTAGCCAACAGCAATGGCATCAGAAGCAACACGGGCATTGTGGAAGAATCCTATGAAGATACAGAAAAGAAGCATACATAGAGATTGGGCGAGCTTGATACATGTTTCTAATATGCAGTGTATTTGTACCGTTATTCAGATTATGTAAGGTCAGATTAAACCGTTTATCTGATATGAGATTTTGGACGTATCCCAACTATATCACAATTGAGTAAATAATAAACGATGTGGTCACACAGAATTCTCATGCAGGTTGGTTGGTTGTTTAACGCCGCCACAGTGTTCCAGCTATATGGGGGCGGTCCGTAAATAATTTGGTCTGGACCAGACAATCGAATCATCAACGGCATGAGCATTGATCTACTATTTGGGATACGATGACATGTGTCAACCAAGTCAAGGAGCCTATGTCATCGTATCTCATTTGCGTAGATCAATGCCCATGCTGTTGGTCACTGGATAGTCTGGTCCAGACTCGATATTTTTCCAGACCACTGCCATATTGCTGGAATATTGCTGAGTGCGGCGTTAAACAACAAACAAAGCTTCATTTTAGAGGTTCCTGTTTTAAGAGTATTACTTTGGAAAAAAATACAATATGTGGGAATCTATTCAGAGTGAGTGAGTAAACATTACTTTACGCTGCATCAGCAATTTGGCAGATATTCGCGGCGAAAATCTAATCAGAAGGTCACACCATGAAATCGATGTAGATGGCAAGATACTAAACTATTTTAATGAATGAATATGGTTTTACGTCGCATTAGCGATTTCAGTAGTACAAAGTGTGAATACCATTTCCTTTGTGTGGAGACTATTGTGAGTATACAATAGGCTCATTTGTGGTGAAATGCACAGCTAAACTAGCGCCTCCCGATAATGGAATCTCCAATGACAAATTATAGCCCATTAGTTGGAACATAGATACATTAGGTATATTTTTACATTTTATAATTACATATTTGCTATGTGAAGTTTTAAGCATGTAATTCTGGAATAGGACTACTGTGGAGCCGGTGTCCAGAACTTGCAAATAACACCATGCTGGCAGTGCAGCAAGAACAGCATGTGCAGTGAGCAGATGGAGTTCAAAACTCGAAGATACAGGACCTGTTTGCTAAAAACTGAAAAGCCCTTAAAAAATACATCATGATAATAAAGGCAAGAATTTTATGGATGTCAATTTCTTTACTTTGAGGAATACGACGTTTCAGAGTATATTCTTATTCCGTCATCATATGAAGGATACTCCGAAAAATTTACTCCAAAACGTTGTGTTCCCCAAAATAAAGAAGTAGACATAAAAACGTCTTGCCTTTATGTGTATCACTTCTTAATACCAAAGACTTTAATCATGAAAACCCTATTTGATGTCCTAAACCCTATTTGATGTCCTAACCCTATTTGATGTCCTAAACCCTATTTGATGTCCTAAACCCTATTTCATGCCCAAACTGTTCCATTCAGGTAGGAACGGCTATCCCTAAACACACATCTACAGAATTTGAAGACCTCGTTAGTTTAATGTACGTTCAATTTTAAATTGATTAATATACACTTATACTCGTTGATATACTAATATGATTGTAACTATTCGTTCACACACACACACACACACACACAGAGACACTCATGCAAACACACATACACACGCCCTCTCTCACACAAACAACACTCCCACAAACATACATAGTCACAGACACAAACACTCACTCAAAAACACACACAAACCCTCTCAGAAACACCCACTCACTCACGCAAACAGACAAAACACACACAAACATGCACACTCACACTCACTCACCACACAAACCACACTCACACAAACACACTCACAGTCACATAAACATACCAACATGCTCACACAGTCATACACACAAACATCATTCCCTCCCTTCATATCGGGGTCGGTGGGGTAGCCTAGTGGTTAAAGCGTTCTCTCGTCACGCCGAACACCCGGGCTGATTCCCCACATGGGTATTATGAGTGAAGCCCATTTCCGGTGTCCCCCGCCGTGATATTGCTGGAACATTGCTAAAAGCGGCATAAAACCAAACTCACTCACTCACTCACCCTTCATACCGATGGAGGTTTCTAAATCGTCCTACCCATTACATTTCACTCCTACCCTACATCAAGCTGAAAAAATCAGATTCAGGTACCCCAGATACAATGATCATTATACGATTGTGGAGAAATATAGGAAATGTGAAGGTTGATTGTTAAAATCCGAGTCTCACCTGGAAGTATTTACACTTTAGTATTCTGTGTTGACATGATGCTCTATGGGACTATATCACCCCTGAAGATCTGGGTTAGAATTGATCTTCAGTAACCCATGCTTGTCGTAAGAGGCGACTAACGGGATCGGGTGGTCAGGCTCGCTGACTTGGTTGACACATGTCATCGTATCCCAATTGCGTACATCGATGTTCATGCTGTTGATCATTGGATTGTCTGGTCCAGACTCCATTATTTATAGACCACCGTCATATTGCTGGAATATTGCTGAGTGCAGCGTAAAAATACACTCACTCACACACTCGATCACTCACTCACTCACAGAAGTATATCCATGTCGCTGAATCAACGGATCCGACGCATTCACCTGACAATTCATGACCAATGACCCACACCATATGGTACAGTTACTCGCAAACAGGCTCTTACAGCGGATCCTATTTTCCTGCGACGAGCATTATATACAAGTTACCTATTACCGATTCTGATTCTGAAACAGCATCATACACGTGCGCCCCCAAGTTGTCACATCTTACCTTCCGCTTGAGGAGCAAGTGTTAACTGCCTTATCCTGTACTCGGTAGTCACGCGAGACTCTTCCCCACACAGTCAGATGTGTCACTCATATATTTACCATGCAAAATGTCGCCAACCCGATTTCAACGTGTATATTCAACGTTATATACCATTTGCAGTGAATGGCTTTTGAATGTTTTCATACCTTAAAGTACAGATATTTTAGGTTTGTCTGTTGTTTAACGCTGCATGCAGCCATAACCCGGCTATATGGCGGCCTTCTGTAAATATTCACGAGGGTAGTGAAACTAAAGTTGACCTGGGTGTAGTGAGAGATCGTGTAGATGAGGACCAAGTATGGCTACACTTATAATGTATGAAAACTCCTGGTGAAAGGCTACATCTCTGAAAACGCGGTGTGTAAGTTTGCACTGCATCCGTCATAGAAGACGACATAAAGCAAACAAAAGATCTTTTGAAACAGCTGAAGATGAAGCACGTTAGTGGCCTGGCGGCAACGTATTTGCCCGCTATGGACGCCCAAAGTGAGTGCCTGTGGTTTCATGCCGTTTTCAGCAATATTCCAGCAATATCACAGCGGGGGACCGCAGAAATGGGCTTCACACATTGTACCCATGCGGAGAATCGAACCTGGGTCTTCCGCATGACGAGGGGACGCTTTAACCACTAGGCTACCCTCGCTGCGACTTACAGAGAGCTTGACAATTATGGTATTCAAGTTTTTGTTTTTGGTTTTGTAAAATACATATACATATACAAGGGAGTATATACACATCATACTGTTACACACAGGAAGTAACACGTTCTTTAAACAGTTCATTTCTTTTAACTAGTGCATGTTTAATATATAGTGAAAGGTTTAATATACGGGATTCGTTCTTAGTCGTTAAAATATATACGAAAGCTTTCAGTGGCGACATCCCTATCAAATAATCTTTAATATATTTCTTTGGAAGATCACTATAAAATGGACAGACGAACTCAAAGTGAATTTCATTTTCTATTTCTCTATCGCATAACTGACAGATTCGTTTCGATTTTGCAATGGAATGTTTTCTTCCTTCATTTACAAAAAGGTCTAACAAAACTAGTCGATATTTAATAAAATGAGTCTTTAAATTTTCCGTCGTGAGTATTAATAAATAAATTTCTGGTTGAAGTAAGGTCTTGAAGGTTGTATAATATGCATATCTTGAACTATCTTCTAAAGTGGAATTCCATTCCTGGTAAAACATATTAACAGACCGAGTTCTAAATTCTTTAAGAAACATGTCTACACTTCCAACTGACTGACATAACCATATAAAACCATAACCATGGGAAAATAGAAGATTCCTTATATGCGATACCCATGTAATTTTTCCCATGTTATCTAAATGTAAAAGCATGTTATAAGCTACTTTGGGAAGACGTTGCTCGTGCATATGAAGAAGTTTGAACCAATATTTTAAACATCTAATTTGGAAATTAATATATAATAGGTATCTACCACATTCACCATATACCATGCAACTTGGTGTAGAGGATCCAACACAAAGAAATCTTTTACATGCTAATAAGTGGACCTTCTCCAAAAATTCATACCGCTGAAATCCCAATACTTCGAGCCATATAATAATATTGGTTGTATCTGGCTATCAAAGAGCTTAAAGAATATTTTAGGTGACATGGTTCCAACTTTGTGGACAATAGACATTACACTTATTAAAGCTTTCTTTGCACGCAATGATAAATCTTTGGTACATTTTGTCAAGTTCATTGTGTGTGAAAACCAAATTCCTAAATATGAATAATGATCCACTACATGGATTTACTGACCATCAAATAACCATCTTTCTTTCAGCGCTGTTGGACCGCCTTTCCTGAAGATCACAATTTTAGTTTCATCTAGATTCGCTGATAATTTCCATTCTTTTGTGTATGCATTTAGAATATTTAGTTGTCTTTGGAGACCAACCACAGTTTCTGACACTAAAATGACATCGTCTGCAAAAAGTAACATCAAAAGTTCTATTAGGTCTGGAAACATTTGTATACCATGTTTACCATTTGAAGCTATTTCAATATATAATTCATGAATGAAAAATAAGACAGGACTCAGAATACAGCCTTGTCCTAAACCCAAAGGACAATCACAGATATCTGTTTCACCCTTCCTGCTACGTCACATTACAATATATTGCTTTTATAATAGCAAACATTTTCCCCCGTAGTACAGCTTTCCGAAGAAATTTCCATAGCCTAGAGAGGTCAACTGAATCAAAAGCTTTTTTGAAATCTACAAATGCTACACACAATTTATGCTTTCGTCGTGACAAAGTCTTTTGGATACGTGCATAAAGAGTAAATATATGATCTGATGTGGAATAATTCTTTCTAAAGCCAGCTTGAAATTCAGGAATGTTATCACGCATGTTCGCCCATTTAGAAATTGTATTATTTAGTATTGTTGTAAACACTTTTCCTAGAATGCTCATCAATGAAATACCATGCCATGTAGTTGTCTGGGTCACTCCGGTCACCTTTTTTATGCAGTGGAATTGTTATTGAACATGATCATCTGTTTGGGTAAATACCTTTTTCAAATAGCTTATTAAAGCATTTGCATAGTAAAGGCTTAACTACAAACCTGGAACACTTCAACATTTCAATAATTATATCATCTGGGCTTTTCCCTTTTTTAGGTGATCTATTCCACAAAATGTTTAGCTTTCAACAATGGGTGAATCTAGCAGAAGTTCGTCAACATCAGTATAGCATTCAGTAAAATCATTTTGCATGTCATCAATTTCCATGTCTAATATTGTTTCATTTGAAAAAAACATTCTTAAAATGACTAAGCCACTGTGTTTTTGATACGTTATTTTTAGCATGGGACCGATATTTGAGGTATGGTATTTCTTTCCAGAATGATGAAGCGTTGTTCATAGAATTTACCAGTTTGTCTTGTTCACGCCTACCCAAATCAACTTTGAATTTCCGACAACAATTCTTATATTTATTCCTACTTTCACAATATTTCTTTCGGTCAAGACTAGCACGAGTTATTCTAAATCTTCGTAGTGTCTTGCGGGCGTTCGGTCTTGCAGTTCTACATTCAGCATTAAGTGAGGTCTTTTTATTTATGTTATGTTTTAATTATTTTCTCATACAAGAAGATGAATCCAGCATTATATGAACAGAATCATCAATTGCCCCCCTCAATGTTATTATCAAGTTTATCGAAGAGTAGTTGTATAATAGACGTTATACTTTCATGAAGCTTACTCAGATAATTGTCAGATAATTCGTCGTAAACACACGCAAGGCAAGTAAAGTGTCCGCATGAAGAAACACGGGATGATACATGTAAGGTACAAACATAAATAATGAACGTCATACGACTATTTTAGAAATGTCTGTCGCTTGTCTACCGTAAAGAAAATTGACAGGACATTTTCCATTTCATTATAATAGTCCGGATATTTCTGATACAACGCGACCAAGGGATCGAACCACCGCCCTTGTGGACAAATGCTCTGTCCACTTACCTACGGTACCAATATCCATAACGGTTTATAACTGACATATAAACTGATTGAGCTTTTCACAGTAGATGTCATTCCACACATATTTTCCAAAGTAATAATGTAATTGAACACAATCTTCGTCATAAGAATCGAATCTGTGACTTGGTTCGAACAATTTCCAATCAGTGTATTGTGGGAGTGTGTTGTCTGTCCAGTAGAAGCTGTCGTTTCCATAAACATCTCTTAGTCCTATCCATGGGTACTCTGAAATGAGCAAAAGAAAAGTTAGCTGCTGTTTACGCCAAACAATCTTCAGTAATATCGGACTCAGGCCAGTAAATAACCAAATCTGTACCAGAAAATACTTTGCTTGAGATGTGCACTTCATCCGAGTAGTTTCGACCCATTCCTGAATATCCGGGATAGAATCGGTCTTAAGCAACCCAGGCTTGTCGTAAGAGGCGACTAACGGAATCGACCGGTCAGGAATCGTATCCCATTAGAGTAGATCGATGGTCATTCTATTGATCATTGCATTGTCTTCTCCAGACTCGATTATTTACAGACCTTCAATAGTAAATAAGAATGCAATAATTTCTTTGAGTAAAGATATAATAGTCCAACTGTCAGAGGAACTATCTAACCAACTGCCTCGATACACAAAAGAAAGCGATGCTACCGGGTAGGAAACGTAATAGCTTCAGCTCCTTAAATGATAAAAATCAGCATATCAAACACCACAATAAGGATATACATGTACTCCTGTTGTCTCTGCATCCTGTGAATATGTTAGTCTGTACCGGACTGGCAATACAGACCAACAGGATAGAACGATACATAATCATCCTTCGAACCTGAACCCAAAATCGGTTCACTCTCGTAGCCAGAATCTCACTCTGGCTATGTCAGAGACCTGTTTTGACAGAATCTGGCTAAGTGAGAGGACACCCAAAAATCATTTCAGTCGACTCTAACAAAGCCCATAGCTAATGGGGACCCATTCTACTGCAGAAACGCCATGGGTGTAAGATGAAGAAAGATTGCAGTTGATAAATATTCACTCTTATAAGTAATACATTCCAGATCAGGCTCGCATTACTGCATGCTGGTCGCACCACGTGTGAAGATCATTAGTCTTCAGCAACCCATGCTTGTCGTATGAGGCGATTAAGAGGATCTGGTTGTCAGTTTCTCTGGCATGGTTGATGCTTGTTATCGTATTCCATTTCCGTTAATTGATGCTCATAGTGTCAACCACTGGATTGCCATGTCCAGACTCGCTGAAATATTGCTGAGTGCGACAATAAACAACAAACGCTTAAAGCTGTAAAGATGTGACACATATAGGGTTGGTTTTGCACGCTATATGACAATCTTGATTGATTATATTATCATATGCGAATTTATATTGTACTTTTCTCATGTACCACCGTTGGTGGGTTCTCTTGAGAATAAAACTGTCTGTCTGTCTGTCTGACAAGAGCATGACACTTGACACAGCTCTGACCACAGAGCACGTTTCTCTTCAATTCTCAGAAATACTTCCAACAAGAGGTATAAGAGGCTACAGATGTTTGCATATTGTACATATATCAATGTGGTTGATTTAATGTTATGAGTAAACCTGTGCCTCAGGGTAACTAACACCAACGGTAGGTAAGTAAATAATTACAACAGAACTTCATTACCAGATCACACCAGATGTGAAATCTGAAGAAGTACTACTGCATGTGCTAAAGTGAGTAAAATGAAATCAGAAGAAGTGCTACTGCATGTGCTAAAGTGTGTAAAATGAAATCAGAAGAAGTGCTACTGAATGTAGCAAAGTGAGTCCAATGAAATCTGAACACGTGCTACGACAGGTACCAAACAGAGTAAAATGAAATACGAAGAGGTAATAATGTATGTAACAGAGAGTGAAATCAAATAAGAAGAAGTGATACTGCATTTCCAAAAGTGAGTAAAATCTTGTTAGGCAATGTTTGAATTTAAGGATTTGTGGTGCACACGAAACATTAATCATCAGGCGCAAATAGTAGTAGGGTTGATACGCGTGAATAGGTACAAATGAATTAACGGTCTATGGGAGTGTAGGATCTTTGGAATCTGCATGAAGTTTAACATCAATACCACTGTAGAAGTGATGCTGTTGATGTAACTCGCATCTTAACGATGGGGCGCAAATGAAGGCCAAAAGCACAATCTGAAGGCCTGCATTATCTGTTAATAGTGCAAATGAAGAGGCCATACAAATTACGAAACCCATGATAAGATTCGAAACACAGACCTCTAATTCAAAGCCTTGTCTCTTCAAAAGCATAATCTGAAGGTCTACAGTATATGTTAATAGTGCAAATGAAGAGGCCATACAAATTACGAAACCCATGATAAGATTCGAACCACAGACGTCTAATCCGAGGCCTTGTCTACTTGACAAAAGAGGATAAACCCGTCAGCAATATTAAATATTCCGTGATCTCGCCCTCATGTAAGGTCGCATCAGCACCTTGCATTCAAAGCGGCCTTAAACCAGACTCAGTCTATTTAATAATTCATGAAATTAAAAATAACTTTTCCGGCAAACAACAGAATCTTGGCATACCTTTTTTCTCTGTCCTTGTGTACAAACCACCTAGGATTGAACTGGTCTGATAGTCCGAGACGATCTTCACTAGGGTCCCACCATCAGCCTTACACACTTTCAGTGCTTCATTCCATGTCTTTTTCTGGCGATACAACTTGACAAGGATGATAGTATTTCCAAACTCCAGTTTTCTGTAACTCTTCACAGCATCTTTCAATAAAAGAGATTATTTATTGTGAGTGAGTGAGTTAAATTTTACACCGCTTTTAGCATTATTCCAGCAATATCACGACGGGGAACACCAGAAATGGGCTTCACACATTGTACCCATGTGGGAAATAGAACCCGGGTCTTCGGAGGGACGAGCGAACGCCTAAACCCCTTGGCCACCCCAGATTATTTACAACAAAACCTTCCGTACTAATTCAGCTGATGGAGGATATGTGATCAATATTTATGTTTAAAGTGTCAGCTGTTTTTTCCAAGCGGGAGTCACACATTGCACCTAGGTAAGGGAATCGAACCTGGGTCTTAAGCGTGACGAGCGAACGTTTTAACCACTAGGCTTTCAACCCACTATACGGGAGATAATGGCCTTTTCTGTCTGTAATTACTGCCATGAGTAAAACTTGAGCCATGTCTCCATGTAATGAGGTCCATGTGTGAAATTGGGACCATTTTGCAACGTAAGTAGAGGCGAATTCGACTCGGCCCATTGTAATTAGTGCTTTGTTTGAAACTGGGGCCATGTTGCAACGTAAGTAGAGGCGAATTCGACTCGGCCCATTGTAATTAGTGCTTTGTTTGAAATTGGAGCCATGTCTCATTGTAATTACCTTCATCTGTAAAACCGGGGCTTTGTCTCACTGTAATTACCTCCTTTTGTAAAAGTTGGCCTTGTCTCATTGTAATTCGAGCCATGTTTAACATTGAAGACTCGACTCACTGCTACTGGCACTTTGTGTGGAACTGGGACCTTGTCTCACTTTAATTTGCCCCATGTGTGAAACTGGGGCCTTGTCTCCCTGTACTTAACTTCATTTGTAAAACTGGGGCCTTGTCTCACTGTAATAGACCGATCCAGTCTGTCAATCAAAACTGGCGCATTTTGGCCAATCAGCAGGCCGGGCGTGCTTTGTGGATTTGTCAGACTTATTTCCGGGGTCAGACGATGCCTCCGAAGCGATGTGCTTCGAATTATGCTATATCTATTACATATTGTTACGATTTGATGTGCACTTTTAACACAACCATTACGCTAAAGGCAAAAGATTTGAGGCAGATCAAGGAATGCGATAGGTCACACGATCAGTTAAATGTCGGCACCATCGTTCACGGAACCTACGTCTGCTCGAAGGTGAGAATTTGCAGGACTTTCCACACGTTATAGCCGGTTCATATGAAACATAAGCTTACTCTCTGTACCTTTACACTTCTTAATTTGTGTCATCAGGGACACAGCGGTTGGTTGTGGATCCGCACGTGTAATTTCAGTGTATTTGCCGAACTTGAAATGAAGTAAAATATCCAGTGACCTTATGTCCAATCATTTGATCAGGTCCTTGAAGTTACTATATGCCTTGTTGCACATAATTAAACATTTCTTTTCAAAACTTTTTGTGTGAACTGACTCTGCTTATTTAGAGATTTTTTATTCATATAGAAAGAGTTCAGTAGAGTTCAACGTTAATATTCGCGTTAAAGGCTAGAGGACCCTTCCTTTTGCGGCACCAGGCCGTGTGCTGGTCCACAGCAGTTTATTCCATTGGTGTCACTGTGGACTCACAGACTCTTGCTTTTTCAAAATAACATAACTGACATTCGTGACCTGTGCCCCTATCTTAAACGAGTTCTTAACGTTAGAACATGTCGTAACGCAATCGTTTGTCAGAGGCTCACAAATGTCGTAGCTCCACGGACTCTTTCTGGATCGGGACCCTGGTTCCTAAAATAATGGCTTTGTACAATCTGACCAGCAGTAAGAGTGAGTGAGTGAGTTTAGTTTTACGCCGCACCCAGCAATATTCCAGTTATATGGTGGCGGTCTGTAAATAATCGAGTCTGGACCAGACAATCCAGTGATCAACAGCACGAGCATCGATCTACGCAATTGGTGAGGTGAGGTGAAGTTGGGTTTAACGTCGTGCTTAAGAATATTTCGCTCATATGACGACGTGCATGCGTGTGTATGTGTATGTGCGGCTGCTTGTACTAGCCCAGACTGAAGCTGGTTTTATAGTGTTAGCCCACTGAGATACCATGCCGCAGTGAAGCATGAATACCCCACTCAGACACATTATACTGACTCCGAGCCGACCAGTCCTTGTTGTACCCATTAATGCCGATCGCCAGGCAGGGACCAACAAGTACCATATTTTAACGTCTTTTGGTATGACGCGGTCGGGGAACGAACCCGCGACCTTCCGCTCTCCGGGCGGACGCTCTAACCACTACACCACGGAGGCGGTCTACTACGCAATTGGGAACCGATGACATGTGTCAACCAAGTCAGCGAGCCTGACCACCCGATCCCGTTAGTCTCCCCTTACGACAAGCATGGGTTAGTGAAGATCAATATTCTAACCCGGACCTTCACGGGTAGACCAGTAGTAAGACCTCGTCTGCAATCCCCCATGTTGGTCAGGGCAAAGGTGTGTCTTCCCACCCCCCAACCAATCGAATCATATTGTTTGTTTGTTCTTTGACGCCAAACTCAGCAATATTCCATTTATATGGCGGCTGTCTGTAAATCATCGAATCTGGACCAGAAACTCTAGAGAGCCTCAATGACAGCCTCAACCGATCCCGCCTCTTAGGACAAGCGTGGGTTGCCGCTATATAGCTTGAATATTGCTGAATGCGGCGTTAAACAACAAACAAACAATGTAAACCAGTCATAGCTCAGGCATGTTCAGACCACGAAGTATGATAAGTTTACAAATAGACCTAAGTTATCGTGACCCAATGTTATTGTGTTGAACATGTACACATGTACTTGACAACCGGTGTCTGGTGTTACCGAATGTTGGTCTATTATGTGAATTTGGAAGTCTGTTATTAAAATATATTTGATACCTTGTGTAATGACGGAATTGTTGTACTGAATTTGCATGGGTTTATACATTATAAGGGAGAGTAGGTATGGCGTTGACGTCTTACAATGCATCACTGTTTTATTACAGACGCGAATGTGTATCTCTTTTCACGTCATTTTTTTGATAAATATCTTAATGCTTCGTAGAAAGAATAACAGATTTTGTTGAATGTAGAATAGATTCATTATGTCTTTTCAAAAGGTATAACGAATAACAGATGACTGGGCTACACAGAATACCTCGTTTGAAGTTACACGCTTGACAGTAATGTATCGAGAAGATCAAGTCAGCGAGCCTGACCACCCGATTCCGTGAGTCACCTCTTACGACAAGCATGGATTCCTGAACTCCAATTCTAACCCGGATCTTCACGGATCCCAGGGATATGCAAAGTGGCACCCTTTCCATCTGGAACATTCTTTAATACACTGGGTCGTCTACTCTGGAATAGTCCGGGGTTCTTGAAGCTTCGAATTCCAGACGGGCTTTGAATCAAAGTCTAAATATCGTATCTAGCACACGGCCGTCATTTACTTAATCTAACAGAAACATTCCCATACAAGAATAACACCTTTTTATAACCAATAACACTTCAAGATAAGAATATGACATTTAATGTTTATTTCTGTATTAATACATAGTTGATTTTACTAAATGTTCAAGCTCAGCAAGTGTAGTGTGAGCCATGCTGATTTGAGGAGTGATTCTCAAATGATTTATCTATCACAAAAATAATAAACATGCGCAATCCCTTCCCAGCTAACAATTTCACGTTGTCACAACGCCATGCTTTCTTTGTTACAACGATATTCTGTGGACTCCCATTTACATTATTACAACATTGTGGCCTGACGTTGTTGTACAGTAAACTTGTTACGTGCAGTAACCTTGGACAAAGTACTGTGACTATGTGTCCCAGTCCACCCAACTGTGAATGGGTACCTCGTTAGGATGAGAAAGCAACAATAACTCGGTGCGCCTGGTGGCAGCAGGAGTTGTATACTCCCCAGGAAGTTAAGATTGATAATACGATGTGCCGTTGAGATTGGCATCCAATGATCGAGGGAAAAATACCAGCGCCTTGAGCATGCACCAGTTGCGTGGATATGTGCGCTATTTAAATATACTATAATAATAATAATAATACGTCGTTTTTACGTCTCTACAAGGTTAAAGTTATTTGATCCTAACATACTGATGTTGTCCTAACGTACACTGACTGACTGACTGAGTTTTGGTTTTACGCCGCTTTTAGCAATATTCCAGCAACATCACGGCGGGGGACACCAGAAATGGGCTTCACACACTGTGCCCATGTGGGGATTCGAACCCGGGTCTTCGGCGTGACGAGCCAACGCTTTAACCATTAGGCTACCCCACCGCCCCTCCTAACGTACAATTTAACGTTAATAGTTGAATAGTTTTCCCAGTAGTGAACAGTACTGAATAAACAAAGCAGAAATTCACTCTAATGTTTATTTGTCAATTTGCATGTTGTTTTGGTCGTGTGTTTTCTGAAGCTGTAGCTGAATAGTGAAGAAAGAATCTCAAAGTGAAAAGATTGACAGAAAGCTATCGTGACACCAAGTTATAAGAAACGTTGTTATAACGTTGTGAGGAACCCTAAGCATGTCGTTTGCAAATTTGCTATTACGTTGTGACATAACGTTATAAAATCACGTGATACTAACGTTGTGAGAACGTTATGTCAGGCCGTTACCAATGTGCAACCTTAACACAACGTGGTGAAAACCTTGCGCCTTAGGTGGGTTATACGTTATAATCTTAAGGAGTGTGCTGCACTGATTCTGGGAGAACATACAAGGGAGGTAACTGTACGGCAACCTAGATCTTGACACTTTGTAGGTGTAATTGTAAATCATATAATCTGGACTCACGATGGACTCATGGTGAGCTCAACATGTTGTGTGCATGTGCTGTGTGTGTGCGTGTGTAGAGAGAGAGAGAGGGACTGAGACAGATACAGAGAGAGACGGAGACAGTGACAGAGACAAATAAAAAGACAGAGAGAGAAAAATGTAAGTGAATGAAATGGTTGCACGCCTCTTTCGGCAGGGGTCACCAGAAATGAGCTTCCCAAACTGTACCCCTCTGGGAAATCGAACCCGGGTCGTAGGAGGGACGAGCGAAGGCTTTAACTACTAGACTACACCGCCGCAGAACCATATGGTGTGTGAATTCGTCAGTACGTATTCAGACAAATGTCATTGGCGTTGAACAAAGTCTTACGTGTACAAAATACTGGACTTACACTGGCATATAATAGAAGCACGATCCCAAGACTATTGTTTGTCACAATATCTAGGTTTACAGATCAGCATGATAACACCAGATGTTGATCGACGAATCGGAGATATGTCTTTAAGCTCTTTAAGGTGGTAAGGCCTTCTGAAAGAGGTTCAGATACTTGTCTGACCCATCACAGACATCCATCCTAGTGTAATATAATAGAGAGATTTTGAAATCCCTCAGGCAAATGTGATAGGATCTATCATTTTCATCAGAGTATATGGTATTTATGTCAAAAGAAAGAAGGCCATCGTCCCAAATTCACAACATACTGTACAAATCGGGTGAGTCAAAAACATATACATATTGCGTATTCGAAAATGGTATCAGGTGTAGGTTTTAAGGATTAATCATGTCTCGTTTCTCGGGAAGGAGTGTTTTGATGAGTATTGTTGTTTAAAAGAGGTTATTTTTTTAAAAACAAACGGCATAATGTTTCACTAATCCACTAATGTTTCTTACCATCTTAATTATACAGAAATACAGAGTTATCGTTCTTGTTTAAAGTAGTTCTGATGTTCATACGCCAATATAAATCCTTCCATAGGAGCACAAGTCGATTATCGGCGTCACGAGTTGGTATAACCAAATGTTGCCAACAGTTCCTTTTAACCAAACTCTCACACATCATACCACCACAACAACAACGAGTCTATATCTTTATTAGTTCTGTCATACAAGTACGTTAATACTAAGGAGTTAGAAGACCTGAAACATACATATATTGTTGCCATTAACGGTGTGGATATTTGACATTATTACAAAACTGAAGCTACTCGAGTTCGTGTTATCGAATATGTACATGGAATCATGGATCATGGATCATTTGTGATTAATTGGAATATGTTTCTTTGACTACGAACATGAAGATGAAGAAAAGGTTATTAACTAAGAAATCATTTTTCGTATCTAAACTCGTCACAATATGGCCGAAATATTGCCGATGTGACGTTAAATATTAACTCACTCACTCGTATCTAAACAGATAACAGAAAAATTAACGCTTAAAAGACGTTTTCTATAGTGCAAGTGCAACGGTTATTACCCTGTAATCTGACTTCTTTCAAATTATCCAGTTAAACAGTGAAACCAGGGACGAGTCTGATAGCTCGTAACAGAGCAGCCACAGGTCGTACGGGAACGTGTTCTTCTCTGTCTGCGGTAGATGCATGGTCCCCAGGAGGTCCAACGGGTATAGGTAGGGGGCTTTTGCCAGAGCCTGAGGTTAATTTCAGGCAGAGAACCGCATTGGACCCTGGAAAAGTTGACAGTACTGAAAGCATCAGTATAGCTTATAACTAATAAAGATATGGGTTACAATAGATTTTCAGCAACCTATGCGTGTGTAAGAGGCGAATAATGGGATCGGGTGGTCAGGCTCGCTGACTTATTTGACACATGTCATTGTTTCCCATTCACGTAGATCGATGCTCATTCTCTTGATCACTGAGTGCGGCGTTAAACAACAATCAGCCAACTAACCAACCAATCGTAAGCACAGGCTTTTGGTATATGGACACCATATGAACTGCTTTGTCTCATGAGATGTATCATGATTATAGGAAAATAGTTGTCACTTGTCTTTCATCCTTTCACAACGGAATTTCACTGGCTTAATGTGTTTTAAGCTCGCCTTTTTGGGAACAACAAGCATCGTCATTATAGCTATACGATAGTGATTCATACACACATGCCTTTAACATAGTGGTATTCGTCCAATTAACTTCATTCAGCTTCTCACTTATGGTTATTAACGGGTTCTGTCTTTTTAACACATAAACTGTTTCTATTATGGACATGGATGGTTAAAGAAGTAATAGAGTGCTGTACATTTGGATGCTTTCAAGATAATAATCACTTTGTTTTACCTCCTAGTGACATTTTTGTTTTCATAAGACAAAATGTCGAGAAGTGCTTACGGACAACCCTTGATGAAAGCGTTGCGCTGAATCTTGAAGGTGTCGGTATTGTCACACACTACCCTCGACAGGCTGGCTTTCCGGATTTCCCTCAGTTGAACTGATAATAAATCATAAAACGTCCATAACACGTCCATGGGAAATATTCGATTATAACCGACTTATTAATTCACAATGACCACACGATGATACAAAACCGTCATGTGACCGTCCAAATAGCGTGTAGGGCTAACTATGCAGGATTGTGTTACTCTTTTTTAGGGAGGATTTACAAGCATGTATGCATTCTATGTCTGTAGCATTTTGATGTAAAACTAATCCTAAAAGTACCCACGGTGCCATGATTTGTTCTGTGGGTATTTCCTGTGTACTTTAAAATTAAGGGTTTAAGATATATTACCCCACATATTTGCTAAAATTAACGACATCGCACCTTGGCAAAGCCATACGCTATAATTCAAAGCATCAAGGTTTACGTGTATATCATTTTAGGAAGGACTTCAGTATATATTCAGTTGCTCCAGGTTTTTTAAGGTGCTTAAAACGAACCCTTGCTACTCCAAAATTCGTATTTGTTCCAAATACATCGCATTATTTATGTTTACGTACAACGAGTGAATTTAACATTGGCGTTGTTTTCTTCAAACCAGAATCGGTCTCCTTTCTTCAGTGCCTGGAACTGTTTCCCCAGGAGACAGGTGAATGTGGGACCCAGAAGTCCTCCTGCAACAGGTGTCTCCGACAGAGCCCCAGGGAACAGGTCGATGTCGTCGACGTGACTGAAAAGAGACAGATACAAATATTGATCGGTGTGATCCAATATATGTGTCATTGGACGCTAAGATCTGTAGGAAAACGCTTTTGACTTCCTTTGTACATGTTCTGCTCAATAGACATCAGGTATACAAGAGAAGTGACAGAACTATTGAATGTCGTTGTGATTTATACGCACACGCGCACGCACACGCGCACGCACCGAACCACATGAAAAAAACCGTACACAAGACTGATTTTTCTCTTAACTGATAATCGATATAGAAAGTGGCTTTTTGGATCTGCTATTGTCATATCAGCTACAAAGGAAGTAGTTGATAAGTAGTTCGGCACTTCACTGCTTAATGTAGTGAAGAGCTTATCCACCTGAAAAGAACTCACTCATATGCTTCCTCCAGTAGAGATGCCGCATCTGTTGTGTGAGTGGTAGTGGAGAGATCGGAGATGGATGCAGCTTTTGGAACATTACAGAACTCCCTCCACTTGGTGTAAGACGGGAGCCCGTGGTCTCTTCCTCTCTGGATGTTGAGAGCTGCCAAGTCCAGACTATTTCCATTACTGTCAACAAACAACCTGTCCGTAACCTCCTGTGTCAGTTTGCGATCTACAGTCTGGACACTGTCCTTAACCAGGCCTCTGCAGAAATGACCAACCTTCCTGTTGTTGACGTTCAGAATGAGACTCGTGTTACCGAAGATCTCGCTTAGTACGTCCTCCCCGAGAAAACTATGTGAAGAGCTGAAGCTGGAGAAGCTGCTGTGGATCATGGAGTGTCCCATCCTGAAAGCCGCAGTAGCGAAGGCGTTCCTGATGCTGGGGTCTATCGATGTGTTGTAGACGTTGGCGTAAGCAGTCCCAGATCCAATTCGTAAGCCATACTTGGCCATAGCGTTCGCACCCAAAATGATAGGCAAGTACTCATCGTACGTGATTTTCTGAAATCCCAATTAAATTGATACACTTTCAATATACACAGTATAATTAGAGTCACGCGTGATGCAAATTCGAGTCAATGGTCATTTTGCAATACCCACGGAAACGGCCATAATGCATAAGCAAAAATCGAAACGAAGGTGGGATTCCTACCTCAACTCGACAAATCGGTATTTGAATTAGTTCATTATGCCATTTTGTTAATTGATCTAAGTTAAAGAAGTATGTTGGCGGCGTTAAAGAAGCTAAATCTAGAAAAAGGTCATATTCGCACCTGCATGATAGCCCCAACTATCCTTCTGGTTTCCTGGAAAGTTTTCTCATCACTCCAATCGCAGTTCAGGTCTTGCAGTTTTTTAGCTATACGGTTGTGTTCTCTCACAAAGATGGTGTGCATGCTCTGAAGGGTTGGGTTTTCATTCACTCGATGATCACCTTGAGAGACAAAAATATAAGTTTACTGAGGTTCCAAAAGTATTATGTTTCTGTTGCTTAATTTGTCCTTTTGTTGGTACAAATAATTCACATAAAGGAAAAACATTGTTTTCTCTGGACCTTTGACAGTGATTTATAAAAGTTTGGCAAACGACACTCGATAAGCCAAAGAGGCAAACACACGCCCGCCCAGATGTGAGACCCGTACGCCGCTAAGGTTATGAAAGTTTACAGGAATCGGATTCGTTCATCTGGATGGATTGCTGGTATGTTGTCCTTAGTTACCTGCAATTACCTTCTCATTGCAGACTTTAAAACATTGACCATATTGTCACTTCAGGCTGATTTCTGTCAGTTTCGAGCGTTTCAATACGTTACCGCTGCTTTGTTAGTTCAAACACAAGTGATGACAGAATGCAAATAATTCACAACAGTGTGACAAGCGGAATTAACAAGATTGACATAAAATTAGATCGCACCACAGACACCTTCGCTGAAATTGCCCAAATCACCCAACGCACGTATTTTTAAAAACATTTTCTGTCTACAGTTTCGAAAACATAAAGCCTCTGACGCGTTTGTCGTCAACACTTATCTTCTTTCTAATACCCGTATTGTTCATGATCACAAAATTTTGAAGTATATATTATCTACATTAACTGCAGGTATTTTAACTCAAACGGCTGTAACGCAGTGATAAACCGGGGCTGAGCGTTTAACCGCGATGTGCCGTGTGTTTCGGTACCCTTACTGTCTCGATTTTTTTCGTTGCCTGATCGACCGGTCTCCTCTCCAGTAGTTTCAATTTAAGCCATTCGAAATGGTGATTTTTGATTGGATATAGGGCCCATAAGTAGGCCATAGAATTGGCGAGTCCTTAATACTTCCGGTGACAAACAACGTTTCATACCTTTACGAATGGTCCCATGTCTGTCAGTTGACAGTAAGGAACCGATAATCAATGCAGGAATAATAAATTTCCGATCTAAGCATCCCCAATTTTTCCAACTATCACGTGTGTCAACAGGTGTGACAGTCAAGCATGGTTGTACACTTGGTGCAGTCAAGTAAAATCATCTTTGGCAGTCACGGAATTTGGAACCAGAACTTTTTTTTTAATATACGCTTGTCATCGGAAATCTGGTACCGCAAGTAAGCTGCGGCCCGTCTCGCATATCGCAAGTTGGCGCGCGCAAAATGAGCCGGGAACCAGCGTATTACCGGAAGTAGCGCCTAACGAGACTTAAAGGCCCTATCACGTTCACAAGGGGCACAACTCGTACCTTGATGGAGACAGAAGCTAGTAAAGAAGTTACACACTCTCCTAACCTGCCAGGAAACAGTAGCTAGGGCTGTTTGGTGTGGTACAGCTAGGTTGCGAATCTTCAGGCAAATGAGAACATCTCATCTTTAGCTGGCCTGCAACAATGCATCATGTATTTGTATCAAAAACTGCATTTTATGAGCAAAAGCAATTAGTTCATTTCCTGGTTCAATGTACAGACTGAATATTACCTTGTATAGCATTTTCAAAATACGTACTCACGTCGATAAGTATGCTGTTACGAGCAATATCACTGATTTTCAGTAACCCTACATATAATTATACATGCAATTTAGGCAGATATCCGAGACTGATTTTTCTCTTGGCGTTCAGCATCAACCAGAAACAATTCTTTGTCGGACTCATTGAAGATTGGTTGTTGGCCAACTCAGGCCATATTGTTTTAATGGTTTCGAATCTTCAAATTACTTCATTTTACTGCCTTCTCTGAAATATAAGTCACCTCAACCACTACTCATGACGCAGTGTCGGGCTTAACGTAACTTCGTCAACAGATATTAGATATGATCTGACGAAAATTTGTGTGATCCAAAAATCCTCGTCCATTTTTACCCATTTCAACCAGCGAAGGATTGCTACTTTGACATAGATATAGTTTCAAAATCGAAATAGAGTTGTTATTTTTTTCTTCAAATACAATGTTTACGTTCATTATCAACGAAAGCTTGATTAATGTCTATGTAAAAAATGAGTAATCTTTTACGGGAATTGGGTTAACTAATTATTCTCCCTCCTGAAATACCGTTTTCAAAAGTTCGCAGTGTGTTTTGTTCCTCTTGTGACGACCCGTACACCTGCGAGGCATCTATGAAGGCTGTGATCTGGTTCAGCTGTTCCACGGGAACTGGAACAAGCAGACAATGACGTTGGAATATTGAGTGTGTGCCTTTGTGCTGCTCGATCATATGATCATTGGTCCCTGTCTCTGACTAACGCTGATTATGTTTGTTGAGACTGTTGGTATGCTTGTGAAGTTGCCGTAATAGTACACATGTGAGATTTTCTTCGGACTGACATACAGGAAACAATGTTCGAAGGGGCATAAAGTCCAAATCAATCGGCCACGGCATTACACATGGCACGATATATTGCATGTGCACATTATCGCCTGTGGACTGAATGAACCAGTAAATTATTATTGCTAACCCATGCATGCGTAAACTCAGCACTACCTGGACAAAATCGAGTGCGTGGATTTGAAGAACATTTTAGCAGCTGAAAATTGATCAGGGTAAAAGCTTTCCTGCTTCGGCGTTAACCGCTTGAGGGAAACGATGTTGACAGAGTACTAACAGACGCATGGCAATTATGTACGATATCTGTGGAGTTTTTGGCAACACGTGCGCAATGTTTTAGATTTGTAAATCATAAATCAAAGCACCAAGCCTGTATATGTTTGTACCTCAGTTCATATAACGTTACAACCTTACATCCTAACTATTGTGTGCCACTGATGACATTATCTGCTTGTGTGTGTCACTGATGGCATTACCTGTCTTATTGTATCATTGATGATATTACCTGCATGTGTGCCATTTATGATATTACCTGCTTGTGTGCCGTTGATGATTTTACCTGCTTCTGTGTGTCACAGATGTTATTACCTGCTTATATGTGTCATTGATGATATTACCTGCTTGTGTGTGTCACAGATGTTATTACCTGCTTATGTGTGTCATTGATGATATTACCTGCTTGTGTGTGTCACTGATGACACCACCTGCTTGTTTGTCAGTGATGGAATTACCCGCTTTTGTGTATCATTGATGATATTTTATGCTTGTGTGTCATTGATCATATTACCTGCTTGTGTGTCATTGATAATATTACTTTCGTTGGTATGTCACTAATGGCATTACCTGTTTGCTTGTGTCACTGCTGATATTACCTGTTTGTGTGTGTCACTGCTGATATTACCTGTTTGTGTGTGTCATTGATGATATTACCTGCTTCACACTCAGAGTTCTCTATTTGAACTGAACGCACGAAGTTCATACAGTTGGTTTCTGTGAAGCGTCTGTCGGGTTGCGGGATGATGATGGGGAAGCACTGGGGCCTGAAAGGACGAATACTGAGCGTTACAACATAACACAGGATGAATGTGGGTGATTTTGATTTGTTTGTTGAAGAATCATGACGAATGCTTGGAACTGCTTTTTCGGCTTACATCTGAAGATAATATCACTAAAAGTGACTATTGAATAGGATACGCCTAAATGCGTAACTTGACATTATAACACTGAATTCATTATTAGGTAAATTCAGTCTTACAATAGTTCTAAAACATGACACATGTGGATTAATGTTTGGCTTAAAATCCAGTTTTCATTACGAGGCTCGGACGCTTGTTTAAAATGGTATACACGTTAATAGTCATATTATTACTATAATCAGAATTCTGTTAAATCCTTTTTACATGAACTCGAAATATCTCTTTGTCCTCACGACCGATTACAGCATTCCTGTTGGCAATCTCGAGAACGTTTTGAACACAGTACGAAGTACACAGCAAGTAAATTCATTCTTGGTTGCTACATTTTATAGTCCTCGTCTCCATCTTCAGAGTCTTATTTTCAATGACGGTGTGATAGCCCTGTGGTTAAAGAAGTCGAAGACCAGGGTCTAATTCCCCTGCTTGGGTACATTTTGTAAAGCCCCTTTCTGGTGTCACCCACCGTGATATGGCTGGAATATTGCTAAAAGCGGCGTACAACTAAATTCACTCACTTACTTTTTCCGAACATCTGCTCACCTTGTAAAATACAATTTGCTATTATACAACAGCACTCTGTGATGTAATCATGGATCAAGAAGGCCTAAAGTAGCATATGGAGTGTTAGTATATAGCGTCAGAGCAAAAGAATATGAACGCATTCCGTGAGGGGTAAATATAGGCTTAGAAACTGTATGGATTATCTGATAACCCAGGTAATGACTTAGGCCCTGGATATATGTAATTGACCCACCTTTCGGGGAGAGATGGACTTACAGATACGCGTCTTTTGCCTCTACGAACATGACAACACCCGATAGAACCGCCATACGGACCTGTAACGAAAACGATTTTGTTGAAAGTGAGTGAGTAAGTGATTTGAGTTTTCCGCCGCACTCAGCAATATTCCAGCTATATGGTGGCGGCCTGTACATAATCGAGTCTGGACCAGACAATCCAGTGATCTGCGCAACTGGCAACCGATGACATGTGTCAACCAAGTCAGCGAGCCTGACCACCCGATCTCTTTAGTCGCATCTTACGACAAGCATGGGTTACTGAAGATCAATACTCTAACCCAGACCTTCACGGGTATTTCTTGAAAGTAGCAACTGTACAGTGGACAATAAAACCATGATTATGTAAATAACTATCCGTGTACATGAGCTTCTGGGTGTCAGAGTAATACATTTCCCAAGGCTTGGCCAACAACGGAGAGGCGTATGTTACAGGATGTTATTGTCTTTATATCATTATTACCGGGAGTGTTTGAAGGCTGTGTTCCTGGCAGCAAACTGTAGACTCTCCCAATATCAGTCAAGGGATTGGGGGGTATACAAACCTAAGACACCAAGGACAATGGTGAGTTGGACAGCTTGGTACTTGGGATGTAAGCAAGTACTTGGGATGCATATATATATATATATAAAGAGAGACAAGGTCAAGTTTGTTTGATCTGTCTGATGATGTGTATGGGCCTTTCTCAAACAATTTTATAACTGTCATTTTCTATATTTAGGGTCGTACCATGGATGGACCTCTACGTGAAAAACACCCCTGCACAATGAAGACGAATGAGCCACAGAGCTTAAGATACTGTGTTTGTGCCAATTTTCGCTTATGCGTGGAAAATGCGCCGCAAACAGAAAACTTTTCAGGCCAACCGACTCCATCCACGCGAAAGACAGCACATATGCTCTTCTCCTAAACACACTATGTATAATCTCGCGACATTCATTTCTGTACACCAGCAGCACTGAACCATCAACAAAATCAATATTGACGTTGACATTCTATCCACAATGTCCTTGGCTCGTTTGCATCAGGAATTTTACATGTTTCAAAGCGGAGCATCGAACACATAATGTTTAAAAAAATTCACAATATTATATCAGGAACAGCATCCACATTAATCAAGCCACCCTCCCTTTTTATTGATAAAAAGGTAGTTGCAACTTTGACGTTATTGCGAGCGTTCAGCTCGGAACACCAGATTTTCTTTAACCTACATGTGTATTCTTCGCAATGTTTGTCCTTTATATGAGCATTCTGGAGTTTGTCCTTCACCTAACCAACAACGACATAGTCAACAACTCCACCCCAAAGTAAGTTAGACTGAAGGAGAATGTTGCATTTGTCGAGCACTAAAGACATGTCATTGGAATATGCTTTTCAGTGTGGAATCTCCCTTGAAAATACGTTCAAGGCCATTAATGTAAAGAAGGTAAGAAAGTGGTGTTAGGGGTCTGTGCTGAGGAAGTACCCGGTGATAATATTTTTCTTTCTTAACAAAAAGCTTAATCGATTGAATGAGAAACAGTAAAGCAAAGGACATAGAGAATCGCCCTAAAAATCCCTTTTAATAGAAATGGGTAATATCAGAAATATTTTTCCAGAACTCTATCACAGTTACCTGCTTGCTGTACGGGTGTACTGGTGATGTCGTGATCCAGGAACTGACCCCACTGCATTAGCATGTGGCTCAATTTGCCGTGCAGGTCAGCGTTTGTTGATGCTGTGTGGATAGTTCTGCTGACCAGGCGGGCACTGGGTAATTTTGATACCCCCCCATCAGTGGCTCTTTCTCGTGGGGAGGAGATATCTAAAACAGGAACAGGATGGTAAGTGATAAATTACATGACTTCCCAAGTTAATGTTCTACAAGATAAACTTGGTTCGCGGCACACCTGGATGGTGAATTGACTTTTGTTAAGAATTCCAGACCGTCAAAAAGTATTACAACAAAAAACATATCACATTTTTTCATATGATCACATATATATATGGATCGAATAGAATGGGGATGATAATAGTTACTCTGAATAACGTTTCAATTAAATCACGGGGGAAA